CCATCATTTGCAAACACATTATATTAGTTTTTTAGCAACAAATTTAATATTTTTGTAGTAGCAATTTTACACATATCTAAACATCTTGTTTCAATATATCACCACATCTTAACATCTTTGTATTAACATTTTACCATCACTTCAGTACTATCCGTATCAAAATTTTTTGATATATTTGACATCTTTATAATTTTTTTAATTAATTTTTTTTATTGCAATAAGTATTTCATAATAATATATCATCATAAAAAATGTGTTATCACAAAACTTCAATGAAAAATAAAAAATAAAAGAAAAATCAGAACTTCTCAATGTACGTAGTACTACAATTTTGTGCACATGACCCTGTATCATTATCATGCACAAGAGGGGAGACAAAATCAAAAACCTTTTTTTATTGTTTTGTTGAACAGAATTTTGGTTTTGTGAGTGAATTGTTACTTTTTTGCAATATTTTTTCTCATTTTTTTCTATTTTATCATCTTGTTCTAAGTCTCTTTTCTCTGTTTTTGCCATCTAAATGATAATCTTCATAGAATCTTTTCATATCTATCTTAAACTATACATAACAGTTTTTTTTTTTTGGCCTATATGTGCACAAATCTTCATGTATTTGATTGTATTATTGTCAATCATGTTTCATCTCTTTAGATCTATTTTCTTTGTTTTCTTGTCAATTTGACCTTACTTATCTTATATTCTTTCATCCATTAAGGCATCTCTTTAGCAGTGTTCATCAATTTAAGCATATTTCTAACAAACATTTGAGAATCCTTTAAAATAGTAATTTATTCCAAGATTGAGCATCTTTGTCTCAGCACTTTACCACCAATTTCATCATCTTTGTCGCAATATTTTATTCCTAATCTAAGAATATTTGTGACATCTTTTTAATCCATAGCATTAATTTACAACCATTTTGACCATATTTGTACAAGCAGTTGTTTATTTGTTTAGAAATCTGGACATAGCAGTTTTTTTCATCTATTTGTAACTATGTATAACAACATTTTATCACTTATAGTAATATCTGGATAGTACTTTAACACTAATCTAAACATGTGTGAAGCATCACTATTGCAATTGTTTTATCTAGTTTGTAACAAGAGATTATCGATAGTACTTTAACACTAATCTAAACATGTGTGAAGCATCACTATTGCAATTGTTTTATCTAGTTTGTAACAAGAGATTATCGATAGTACTTTAACACTAATCTAAACATGTGTGAAACATCACTAATGCAATTGTTTTATCTAGTTTGTAACAAGAGAGTATCACAAATCCGAGCGTCTTTGCAGCATCACTTTTTTAACAATGTGAGCATCTTTGTAATAGTAATTTAACATTCTTGTGAGCATCTTTGTAGCATCAATTTTTTTTCCACCTAATCATTTTTGTTGTGAAAATTGACCACAATTTGGAATTTGTACTAGTATTGTTTCATTAATTTGGACATTTTTACATTGATTATTCTTCTTTATTTGAGCATCTTTGAAAAAATGCTCAAAGAAGATTACAAAACTATACCATCATCTTCATACTATTTGTACAAGTAGTTCTTCACTTGTTTGGACACGTTAAGAGTTGTTTTTTACAACTTTTTGAATTAATTTGTGGTATTGTTTTCAAATCTTTGATATTATTTGTACAAACAAATTCTCATCTGTCTAAATCAATCAAGAGTATTTTTCTTTACCATTTTCATCCTTATTGTAGAAATAGTTTTTTAGATATCTAGATATCATTGTTTTTTTTTTCTAACTAGCTTACCCAATTACAAGTTGCCAGAAATTTCGTATGACAATGTTTCAAAGAGCATAAAGTAATAGGTAGAAGGTGAACATGAAAATATACTATTCACACAACTGATCAAGAAAATACTCTCTAGTTAGATGCTTTATAATAGTTTTTATGTATATGTGATTTTGGTTTGGTTACTACTCATATCACAGCTATTCTATCTTATCACCTCAAAAACCAAGTCAAAAAAATTGTTTTTTTTGGATATATTTTATTTAAAAACAGTGATCTAGAATTTTATTGTTTTTAAAATTTTTTGAAAATTTTCAATTTTTTTAAAAAACGAGAAAATTCTATATTGTTTACATGAAGCCTTGTACAAAAATTCTCATTAGTTAAAATCAATATCTTGTTCATTGATAAAGGTATTGTGCTTTGGATGTAACAAAACAACAACTATATGTGCAATCAATTAGATGCAAGTATTGATTGGATCTTATTAAGAGCTGGAATATATGTGCGCATAGCTTAATGTTACAAGGAATACAAATAATATAGTATCTAGTTAACTATCTATACTAGTTTTTCATCTTTATTGTGATATCAATTGTAATTTTTAAGTGCAAATATTCGCAGTCAAAACACACATCCAATTGATACACAAGATAATTTTGTAATTCATTATGATAGGTTACATTTATTATAACACAATAATGTTCTTTTTAAAAAGGTCTAATCGTGACATTAAAAGCTACAATCACTTTTCTTATATATTGAGTAAATAGTAGATTAAGTAACTGCAATAAAATTAATTGAAATATATCAATAGCTAAATTGATTTTTGACATAAAATTTAAAATTATATAAAATTTGATTCATTTAACTCGTATATAAATATAAATAAATAAATGTTATCACATTGTTTCAAAACAAATATCTACTAAATCACATGATATAATAATCTATAAAGCAAATGGTGATTGATGCAATCATTTAGGACTAAAAAATGATAATAATTGATGTCAATGTGTTACAATCCAATATCAAGCGTTTAATTTTAGCTATATGTAAAAAAAAAATGATTTTTGTGAAAAATGAATTTCACATAGAATTTCACAGATTTTTTGACCAGAAAATAAAAAATTTAGATGAAGTGAGACGGTGATTTTAGAAAATAACCAAAAAATAGTAAATTTAGTTAAATAAAGCTATTCCGTTTGGGATTAAATTACAGTTTAATCCCAAAAGTGCAGGTGATAAGTGTTGATAATAGATGAATTTGCCAGAAACATTCTGGCCACGTCCAAATCTTGCCGGAGTTCCCCCGATCATTGGGATAAAAGTAAGTAGAATATTTTGGATAACGGGTAGCGATTAACGATGGGACTTAGTTGCATCCGGCTACGAATATGGAAGTTAGGTAGTGACAGTAATAGTATTCGTAGCCGGACTTATAGGATCCGGATTTATAGTAATATGGAATTTCAAATTTCATGATCTAGTTACACCTTGACTATAGATTTTTTCGGTGAGGTTTGTTAGATCCCTTGTACTTAAACCGAAAGTTTTGCTAGGACAAACGCCTTGTTTTGTATTTTGTTAGTTCTTGAAGTTGAGAGTATTGTTTTGAAAGTCTCTCGATTCCAAGTAGCAACGGAAGAGAGAGAGTGTGTCTATTGTCGCTCCGGTCAGAATTATTTTATTACTAGTAAAAATTCCCAAAGCCATTTAGAGTTTCATTGCAGTAATAATACTGATAGTCGGAGCAAAATGCGCTGTAGTCGAGCACATAGTCCAAAGTACTCTCCGGTTCCAAACCGTCATCCGGATGAATGAAGTAGGCGATTCGAACTACTTACCAACCTATAGGTTGTTAGAATAGGAATAGTGGATATCCTCAGAGGTCTAGATCTAGAGAATGATAATTCGGGCGAGCGAAACACTAGTGAGAGATTCAAAGGGCTAGGATTCGGGTGGTAAAGGTAGGTTATTGTCTAGAAGGAAGAAAACCGTAGATCTTTGTGGGAACAAAACCGGAGTGCTTTACTTTGGAAAATATTTAGTGACAATTTGAGTGCTTTTGAGTAATACTAACACCACACTCTACTACAATTTTGGATCAAAAGCATCGCAATGTCTTGAATCAATCTCATAACAAGACAATTCAACCTAAATTGTTTTCTTAAGGTTATTACTATATTATGTTCTCCTTACCTACTTGAATCAGCCCATTTTTTAATTATGTTATGTACATGTGACTTCATTATGAATTTTAGAGACTTTAAGTGTTATGATGAGTTTGTTTGATCTTCTTGTGCTGGCATGCTCTAATGTTTGTCAAGATTTTATAATCATTCAATTTGAACAGCTTATTTTAATTTTAATTCACTTCGATGAGAATGAAATGTTGAGGAAGTAAGATCTAGCTAGGTTGACTTTCAATTTATATGAGGAAAATAAGCCTTACATCCACTTTGTAGTATATTATGGTTATCACTAGGTAGTTTATAGTTGATCCCAATGTAATGAATTGTGAAAGAGTATCAAATGAGTTCCAATTTTTTTAAAATTCAACCCATGTGAAAGACCTAAATGGATTAACATCATACTCTTCTACTTCAATTGTGTTAGATTGAGCCACTAAATAACACCATTTGATGTGAAATATATACTGTAATTAATTAGTTCTTTCTGATGAACATGTTTTTCAAATTTTACGAAAGTGTTAGTTTTACTTGTTTTCTCGCTTCTTCCATGAACCTACACTTCATTGGATTTGTTCCAATGTATTCTTAGATATTCTGAGTTGTAATTCCAAATAGAGTCGTAATTTTTTTGTCTACTTTAAATAATCGAATAATAAATTCCAGACCAGAATGCAAAGAATCATGTGAAGAATGAATTTGTTATTCTCATATACGAATATGATCTTAGCATGGTAATGTCACATATCGTAATCTCATTCTAAGATGTAGTAACATGGGCTGGTAAATTTTCTATACTTATTTCACTTCAAGATTTTTCCTCTGCAATGACAATGACATACAGATAGTTGATGGTACTCTAATTACACAAACCTCTATTTGCATGTTTTCTCCAATGAAGCACATTGCCAGCCACATCATCTGAAAACAAATCTCAGGGTACATTACTAGTTACAAGTAGCGGCTCACTAAGCGTGGCGTTTATTCAACCACGTTGCAAACTTGCACATTCGAGCTACCGAGTTACTACGGCCCTCCTTCCAATAAAGGCTCATGACTCAGTTTCAGTGAATGTCCACCTCACCACATTCGAAAACCGGAAACCCGTGACCTTAATTCTTGAGGGGCTCCACCGACTGGAAATCACGTCGCACCACTTTTGCTTGTACGTATGATCGGATCCTTGAGCCAATGCAATCAGCGTCCAGGAAATAGCGTCGAAAGGTTCAGATCTTAGCTACCAAGTTGCATGATTGGAGAAGAGAATTGAATCCGCGAAAGTGCGAAATTTCGTGTCAAGAATGTAAGTGATGTTCTGATCTAACCGTGATCCCGGTGACTATTTTTGTTGCGCGAAACATTCATCCGAATTCCGAAAGCTGTAGGAGGAAAGCGTTTGTTTGTTTTTTGTTAGCGATCCAGGGCCATTCTGTTTCATTGTGGACGCATACAGACAGATTCTCAGTTTCTCAGATTCTCAGATCCTCTTGATTTGATAGCGTTCGACCTTGAAGAACTTCCTACTTGACGATCTATTTGCCGATCTAGGTGTCTTCAAATTCTTGTTTCGAGGCCTGCCTTTTTAGATTCCGAATTAAAGAGAAATGTGGGGTTTATAACCTTGAACCCCTTCTGATAAACCCCACATTGCTTCACAGTTTGTACCCGTCTTCACCTCATTGTTGACTCCAAATTTTATACGCCAAAATTTACCTGGTGCCTCTGCATGACTTTCTAGTGGCATGTCTCTTATCGCATTGTGATATCGATTGCTGAATCTGATTTGGGTCTGCAGGAGACATTGAAATTGAACCATGAAGGGGAGAACGCTGCTTCGAGGCATTGCTCGTTATGTAGCTCCGGCTAGAACCTATGTACCTCGGACACGATCACCAGTTACACCTTTCATTCCACCTCCTGCTCACGTTTGGCGATCTTTCGGCTCGTATTTACCTGCCAAGGTCGTGCTCCCTGCTTTTTTTTAACACTATATCGCCCAATTTTTATATCAAACGTTGTTTCAGTGTCTTCTGTATATAAGCAAGGTAGGTCGCTTTGGAGTTCGTTATGGGCAGCAAACTCATTCTTTGCACGAAAGCAATATCCGAGCTGGAAAAAACCCAAACCAGCTTTTATGGGCAGCTTTCGCTGAAGATAGAACTGCAATTCTGAACTCTTTTCGTTTGAAAGGTGAAAAATTCGTGATGAGAGCATGACTATACAGTTGTGCATAGAGTTCGTTCCATATTGTCCATTCGGTACTTGTATATTCTGTCATTCTTGCAAATTGTAGAATGTACAAAGACCAAAGTTCTTCCAGTATTCTGTACCAAGATGGTCTCATATAGAGACCTGAACTTGAGTAAGTGAGCACTCTGACTGCTGGATAGCTTGTTGAGCCAAATGAGCCTCTGGTCATTGGGCTCTTACTTGAGCTTTGAAAGCTGGATAATATGCCCTAGGACAGTGTAAGTTTTATTTTTTAGTGCTTCCGTAAAAGCACCGAAGAAGTACTTCCCACCTTTTGCGAATGTTCATAAAAAATCATTTGACTTTGTTGTAATACAGACACACGGCCTTGTCAATCCGACAATTGTGACAAGGAAACTATCTTCAGCAACTCTTGCAAGTCTCTCTGTAGGGTCATCCAAGGAGGCAGGAGCACTGGTAGTTGCCGGCGATGCTGCTCAGAGGAGAGTCGCACTTTGGCTATTTGGATGCAGCGGTTGGGTATTCAGCATGGTGGTGCTGGGAGGTGTGACACGTCTTACTAGGTCAGGCCTGTCCATGACGGATTGGAAGTTTGCTGGCGGCTTGCCTCCAATTACCCGCGAGGAATGGGAAGTAGAGTTTGCAAAATATCAAGCCTCTCCAGAGTACAGACGGTGAGCGTTTACATCATGAATGTTTACAAGTCAATTGATGATGCGTTATTTTGGATATTTTCCACTCGTAGATTGTACACTAATATATGTTCTCTAGAGGCCAGAACATTGTATAACGAGATATTTTACTTAATATATAGAATGCTGGCTTACGTTGTTTGTAAACTAGTTTGTGTTCGTGGATCGGTTTCGCCTTTGTGCTCACGTTAAAATGGTTGGTGTCTAGTATAAACAAGGGAATGAGCTTGGAGCAGTTCAAATTTATATATTGGATGGAGTACGCGCATCGCATGTGGGGAAGGGCCCTAGGTCTCGTTTTCGCTGGTCCGTTTGCCTACTTCATTGCCAAGGGCTACATTACGCGGCCACTCGGCCTAAGGCTGTCGGCCCTCATGGCTATGGGTGCAGGACAAGGCTTTGTTGGCTGGTGGATGGTCAAAAGTGGCCTAGAGGTACTCATCCTGTCATTGTCTCTCTTTCAAGAGTAAAGCTGAGGACTTTTGGATGGACATGTTTTAACGTTGTTGCTGTGAATGTTAGCACAACTGATTTCAGAGAAGTCAAGTTTAATAAACCTGTAAAGAGTTGCTTTACAATTGGTTTTTCTCACGAGCATCTTATATAAGTGACAGAATCCTAGTCTCTGGAGATGTAAAAAGTATTTTATGGTGTAAACGCGTCTGTATTTTTACAGGAACCAGAAACTGAGTATGCACAACCGAGGGTGAGCCCGTATCGGCTTGCAGCTCATCTGACTTCTGCATTCGTCATCTATTCAGGCCTCTTCTGGACAGCACTCTCAGTTGCTATGCCTGAACCTCCTTCTGCTGTCAATAAGTTGATGCTAGATGCCAGCAGAAGAATTCGTGCGCTGGCTCTGCCCGTTGCTGGTCTGGTTGGTTTGACAGCCGTTTCAGGGGCCTTTGTTGCTGGCAATGATGCGGTAAGAACAGAAATCATATCTACTTGAGAAACTTGTTTTGTAATAGCAAAGGGAATCGAAACCAGTTTCCATAGTGGATACGCCGGATTTCGACTTTCGTAGTATTAGAATTGCAGAGATTACAGGAGAGCAACGATTGCATCTCGTCTTTGTATTATGAGAAGAGCATTGGTAAATATGAAAGGGGACGTATGTTCACTGACTTATTTCGCTTATGCACAGGGTCATGCTTACAATACCTTCCCCAAAATGGGGGACACTTGGATTCCTGAAGGGATCTTCGAGATGTCACCTTTCATTAGAAACTTTTTTGAAAATACTGCTACTGTACAGGTAATCAATTTACTCTCTGCTCTTTTCGTCCACTCGATTTTCTTGACTTATGGCGATCGACCTTTTGTTCCTAATAGACAGGAATTTTTTTTAGTAGTTATGCATTTTGTAGTTTAAGTCTGCTACGTTGCCAAGCACTGATTGCCAAACCCCTGATTACCATCAGATGGATCATCGTATTCTTGCTGTAACAACTCTTACCTCTATCGGCGGCCTGTGGCTTGCCGCTCGACATCTGCCCCTAAATCCTGCTGTGAAGATCATACTGGATGCTACTCTTGGAATGGCTGTTCTCCAGGTACTGCTTCTCTCCGCCATCATTTATATTTAAAATGGTATATCTCTAAACCGACCGTAAAACTGTTGCTCGGATGTGCTGGTTATTGACAACTTTTATTCCCAAAATGTTATGTTATCGTATTCTTCGTAATCTGTTAACTATGACGGTAAAAGACTGACTTCTGCTTGTAAAAGCAGGTATCCTTGGGCGTATCTACGTTGCTTATGTACGTGCCGGTCTCTTTGGGATCTGCTCACCAAGCCGGAGCTCTCACCCTTTTCACGGTAGTCCTGACGCTCTTGCACGCGCTGCGGAGACCATCACCAGCCGGCCTCAGAGCATTGAACAATTCAATCAACGTTGCAGGAAGCAAACAATTACTCTAGTAATGAACTAATGTGTTTAACCTCAGACACCGTGCACAATTATCCTTCCGTCACTACCTTCTTGTTGTCCCCATTGATTTGCCACGTAGTGCATCATATCAAGCGACATAATCCTGTTGCTATCACTTTGTCGGTAAGGAGCTTCGGTAGTGAATAAGTCACAGGTTTAAGAAGGTTGCAGTGTGAGATGTTTATCATTGAAAATAGGTTGTATTTATCGAAGAGATCACGAGCTTCATTTTACGCCTTAAGTAAAAGAGAGGAGAACATAGGAGTCCAAATTTTTTTTGTAGAAACAGGAAGTACGAAGATATAATTTTCTTATCCAGATTTACAGTTTAGTAATATTCAGGTATCTGTAATTCGCACGTAGAATACTTTTTCACCGATAGCCGATGAAGTTCTTTCCGGCTGCCATTCTGGCTTAGCTTGGCAGGTAGAGTTCTGACATACAAACAGCCAATCCAGTGAAAATTTATTCGAGAGCAGAAGTTCATCTCTTGATAGATTTGTCCGTTTGGAAGCTGAAAATGTAGAGAGAAATGAGAAGAGTATAGCAGTAAACATATCATGTAAGTTTCGTTATGTTATGGGTTCTAGGGTTGTCGCTCTGAGCTCCTTATTTCTCAAGTCTTCGTTGAAGCCTGATTGTGGCAGTTAGTCTCTATGTTGGAATTCTAATCTGAACGCATTCATGCACTCATCGATGAGACAGTGAAGACTCGAACACAGTCAGGATAAATGGACTTGTTTGTACTGAGTCCCGTGTGACGAACAAATGTCGAGAATATGTAGAGTTTTTTGGCAGCTGTTGCCAACCGCTTTACGATCAACGAAGGACGTTGAGCTTGGCTTGCCTGAGATTTAGAATTTAGCATGTGTGAGCATTTAGCATGATTACTAAGAAGACTATGTTTGGTCCACGTCTAGGTGCAAATTTGTATTTGCGAATAGACATTGTTGAAAATCATTGCCTTGGATACGAACCCCACATGTTTTTAGTTTTGCTGCGTATCAGTTATAGATGGAAATTACATTAACATTATAAGGCACAACGTCAACCAGATTGAGTTTCGACGGCAGCCCCATCTTTACCATCAACCGAGCTTCCACTTCTGAAACAGTAGTACTCTGGAGCGATCCATAAGGATTTTTTTGCTTATGTAGTCATCTTTGTGCGAATCTATGCTCTGAACAACTTTTGTCGTGGAAACCTCGTTGGCAGAAGTCTGCTGTAGACATTGTTCATCTGTGAGAGTCACGTTGAATACTGTAATTTTGGCATTTTCGCCTATGCACGTGTACACGAGAGTTAATTATAATAACAGTTACGAATCAGCAGAATAAAACAGATAAGTGAAAGCAATGATATCTGATAAACATACTGAATTTGCACTAAGACTGCGCCGATGTAATCCTCTCTGTTCTCTGCTCCGCCCTGACGTAGAACACTAGTCACGGCGCAGTAGACAACCCTTTTAGTGAATAAGTAAGAGAGGCCAGGTAAAACGTTTGTCGTTAGGCTGTCTAGGGTGCTCAAGAACTGGAACTATGCTTTTGTGCACAACGAACAAAAACTTTGACCATCTGTCAGTAAAAATGAGCCAGTACCTGTTTTACAAATTTATACATCTGAGGTGTCAATGTTGGACATTGTCATTAATGAAGACTTTAATATAACTGGAAGGAATTCAATCCATTTGCGTTTATAATTATTTTAATAAAACCCAAAAAATAAAAAATAAAAGTCGAGTGATTTGACTTGCTGCTAATCCGAGGACATTCTGATGGCAGTTTCGGGGTGGGTTGCTTTGGCCCACCAAGTCGTGGATGGAGCGCTTTTTATCAAGCGCTTTTCTATTCCTAGGTATCCTTTTTGTTTCGATTCTGAATTAACTTCGATCATCGCGACGCTTGGGGGTTCTGACTAACTTGACATTGACCACCGCTGCTAAAGAGACACCACCAAGAAGGGCCTTCATCTTTTTTCAGTTCTACGTACAGAAGCGTCTGCAAAGTTAATATGTGATCTTTTAATCATCGTACTAAAATGTTGACACATCCTTACTCTTTGAATCTTCCATCGATAAAATGTTTAAGCCATCACACTTTTTGATCCGTCCAAAATTTCCTAGGGAAAAATAATCTTTTTTTTTTAAATATACATTTGATTCAAGTCAATAAAGTCAAAGTTCAAGTATAAATCACTATTTCCTTTTTTTCTACATCTCTAAAAGAAAAAAGTAAGTGAAAGCAAAGTAAATTTCATATTGGAAAAAAAATAAAAATCCACTGCACGTGCAATAAACTTTTTATACGTCTAGGACACTTAATACAACAAAGCCGACCCTTTTGTCAATGTTATAAAACTTTCTTTTGATCCACTTACTTCAATCCACATTTTTAGGCTGAGCAGTTTTAATTAATTATCGTGGATTGTCAATTCCTCTCTGGTCCCTCAAGAGAAAAGAACCCTTCCAAGTAGGTCACAACCACAGACGACTGACGCACAGGGACGTGATGGATGAAAGGATCAATGTCCACAGCGACCGAGACATGGAAGAACAATGAACAACGAGGAGAAGCAAACCTGTCGCTCGCGGTCACTTCGCTGTGTCAGATGGGGACGAAATGTGCATCGTCCCATCGTTTGCTAAATCGGGCAAATGGCGAAAGGTCAAGGGAGGGTGGAAGGCAAGCCGGTCACCGACTCCAGGGATCAGGGTTCGATCAGGGTTCGAACTGCGTGCGTGCCTAGGTTAGGAGGTGCGAGGGGAGAGCGTCCAGAGGGCTAAAGACTTGTGTCGAGCGCTTTTGGCCTAAGGCGTCGTTGTTGTTGTAGAAGTTGTGGTGGCAGCAGCAGCAGCAGCAGCATTCGCTCTTGCTTGCATTGCCTTCGCTCGCTCCGATCGGCAGGCATCCCAATCCCGCACGGCATCTCTACCGTCGTCGTAGAGCTTCATCATGTAAGATTCCGAGTCCCCGTTGCGACCTGGGTTGGTTTGCGCTTCGTATTTTTTTTCGTCGCTCGTGTCGAGATGGGAGTCTGTCATTTCCGATGCAATTGTTCGGGGTGCTTGTGGTTCGAGAAGATCTCTGTGTTCAGGGGTGGTTCGGAGGGGACCGAGGTTCCCTCGTAGGTCTTGGGCCGGATCAGTGCTCAAATGTTTTGTAGATTTGAGCTGTTCCTCCTCGCATTCCTCCCTTCTTCTTTTCTGCTCGGTGAAATTTGTTCTGTGTTGGGATCTCGGCTGCGCTACTGTTTATCAAGCTATCATCTGATTGGGTGGATATTGTTGAGTTCGTCTAAAAAATCTGAGGCCATCGGAGCTCTGGAGACGAAATACACGGCGGTGGAGTGTTGTGGCGGCCGTGGTCTAGGTCTACTGAGAGCGATCTGTTTTGTGTGCTGATTCGCGATGGAAGCTATAGAAATAGCTTGGTCTCTGTTTTTGATTGAGATGCTCATACAACGCCAATTTTTGGTGGTTCTGTGACTCTCAGGTCGGACGATGCTGAAGATCCCGTCGATCCCAAGCCCGAAATTGAGGAGAATTGCAAACCCAAATGCGTGAAACAGCTTCTCCAATACCAGGTGAGGAATCTGTCATCTGACACGTCGGGAACGCCTAGTTGGATCCCCACTGGGATCCCTTTGGGGATCTGAGAAACATCCATATTCTGAGTGCCTTGGCTGTAATGGAATCTTCATGAATTTTTGGCTCGAGTTACAATAGCAATATGAGGACAGTGTTCTGCAGTGTCTTAGAGTATGGCATGTAGGCAATCTGAATTGTTCATCTTGAAAGCCGTGTGGGAGCTTTGGATCCTACAGGCTGCCCCTTAAACAATCGAGAACATGAAATTGTTATTGAAGATGCGTGGTGGCTATATGCGTCAGCACATGTTGTGTCGGTCAAGGAGTTGGACCTCCAAGGAACATGCATGTGAAGTACAAGAACTGAACTAGTAGCCTTCGTGGATGTGTCGAAGATGTATAATGGATGGAACCTAATAAGACTCATTGGAAAGTCGCAGTACTTTTTTTTCACTTATCGTGACCATGGCTGTTAGTCTCACCATGTAATCGCTTCAATTGTACTCACCAAGAGAATGATGTTTTTGGGGACAAAAACCCAAAAGCTGTATGATATTTCTTGGGTGCAAGTTAGGTTTCAGATGCATGTATAAAGTCTTAACACGGCGATGGTGGTGTTGATTGAGGTTCAGATGCATCCTCCATCACACTTGCAGATTCTGTTGATATTCGATGTATATTTTGTAGTTTAGCTAGTAACACAGAGGAGCTTGTCCATGTGATGATGAATTTGCCTCCTTTCAGATTCAAGTTGATACTTCTAATTATGTTTTGAATAGATGCTGCAATGTGTATCTGGCATGCTATAAGCATGGAGTTTTTAAGATGGTCGATATAGGAACATCCCGTTCGATTATTTCTACGCGATGCTATAAAGCTTCATTCTTTTTTCTACTTCACGTTTGCGAATAACATGCTTCCTTCATAGATTCAAGTCTACAGTCGTCTATATCTAATTTCACGCTGCTGTATTTTAGGAACCACCGACAATATCGTGTTCTGAAGACTACTTGATGTAATGAATTTGGTTTCGTTCTTGTTAAAAATTTGAGCGCTCTTCTGAAAGTTAGTACCTTCTGATTTACAGGCTTGTACCAAGCGGGTTGAAGACGATGATACGGGCTCAAAACATTGTACCGGTCAATACTTTGACTACTGGGGTTGCATTGACAAATGTGTAAGTAAATCTCACAGTTTCGGTTTTCCTTTGTTAGAATCCAGCTTGGATTTTGACGATGTTTTAGACTATTAGGTTTTCGTCTACAATTGAATGGATATCCAAATTTTTTAAAGCGATGCCATTGATTTCTAATTAACGTATACTATTTTCAGCTGCGTGAGTTTTAGTGGAGAATCTAACACCTGGCTTCGATGTGCAGGCTGCAACGAAGCTTTTTAACAAGCTGAAGTGACCCCAGATTAGAAGTTTGTCATGGAGCAGGCTCAAGATGGTAAAAACCTGGAGGCCTGTGTACCATCATCAGCAATTGCTGATTTTCTCTCATTAGTACTCTAATTAATTTTTCATACTTGCAATTTCTGAAGAGAACTGTTGCTAGCCAGAACCCCTTCGTTGCCAGTTTTGATGTTTGGCGGAAGTTCTCCAATCTATTGCAGATGGTGTTCCGGTTGGTTGTGAAGATCTGATTCCAGTACATAACGAAATATCAGATCTTACTCATCTCTGAATGTCGACTTTGCTTGTAATGCCGAGTGTATGGTATGAGTACTCATGGAGGTGGTTTTGATAGCGTACGCGATTGGTTGTGATATTCTTCTTTCGAGAGAAGCAGTGATTGGAGGAAGTAGACGGTATTAGAGATGACGGGAGGCACATGACTCGTAGGTGATGTATCACCTTAGACATGTGTTTTTGAATAAATTGAGTTTCAGTTAACTGTTTCGTTACCCTATACGATTGTGACCCTTTCTTTGTTGGTCATTTATCAGTCATTGATCTGACAACACTCTACGACGTTCGAGCAGAACAGAATCACTTTGCAACACTTTGCCATATGTAAAAACTCCAGTTAGGTGCCAACTAACTGAGGATGCTCAGCAGCGACTGTGGTAATGTCGACACCGGTACAGAGAGTGGTGAGGAGCAGAGAAGTTTACATTCCATGCACTATGTAGTCTCCGCAGATTCTACTCTTTCCTTCACATTTACTGCCGAATGTATCTCGAACTAGGGAACACAATTGCGGCACGCTCCCCTACCGATGTATTTTGACTTACCACAGGTTCGGCATATCTCTCTCTCGGCATATTCTAGTCCTATTCTAGTGGGGAACGACGTTCAAGCACAATATGGACTTTTGTGCATTGACAAGGCCAAATTCCTAACTTGTGGCTATGTTCACAGAAGAATCTAGTGGGTAGAATGTGATTCCAAGCACACACTGGAGAATAAACTGGTTGAACTACTCCAACAAGTTCATTCTTCAGTGTATGCAGTTAGCAGTGATACATATCACTAGAGCATGGTTAGAGAGACTGCAAGGGGGTTAGTCAGAATACTTATTGACATCACGCGGATAAATCTGTAGGAAGTGCAAGGCGCTGGAGAGTGAGAACAGTAACGATTTAATGCTATGAGTTGAGAAACACGATTTTGAGCTGTATTTGATGACATGTGACTTGGAATATATATGAAATTAATCCAGCAGTTAAATATCTGTACTAAACGTCGTTCATGAATCTCTATAAACATAGAAAACGTTTGAAATTTAACATTTATGATTTAGCAGGAAAAAAATTGTGTGAAATTTAGCACTTATGAAGCAAGTCGCATTCCCTTGGATGGTGAAAAAAATTCGACGCTTAGTGAAGCTGAAGCCGATATTTCAGCAGTATACACGTAACTAGTCTGTCCTAGCCAACTGAATGATGCCTTGGAATTTTGAGAAGATATAGAGAAAGTGGTTGAAGTTCTAGATCCAATAGGACACTGCACACTATAGAATTCTTATAGATGTTCTTGTTAAAGAAGATTCACGTAGCCTGACAAAATGAGATCAGACTGTATAGTAAGAACGCACACAAAATGCTCATAAAATGTTTTTACCATACGTGATAGTTATGCATCCGTACCAAAGCTATGGACGAATCCGAGGTAAGCCAGGATAAATAAGGTTAATCTAATTAGAAACATCCAAAAAAAATCCACTTAAGTATATGTTAAAATTACATATTCAATTCCCCTGGCAATTTTTTTTTTGAAAATTGGTTTTCCAACATATGATATTTGATTGTGTTGTTAATCAATTCAATCCACACAATAACCTCATAATTCAGATCAGCAAAACTCTAATGTACTCTACAATGAAGTTCGATCAACTCTCAGTTTTATTTCAAATTGTGTACTTATAATTCAAATTTAAAATCGTTTTATACTAATGATATAATTTTATATTTTATTTTGAAACTAAAAAATTGGCGACATGGTAAAATTTAGAAAAAATACATTTGAAATAAGATAAAATTTACTTTGTATATGCAGAGGATTTTGTCTCTTCGCTGTTCAGAATATAACAGTCATTACATCGTTTAGACATTTCACGTCATTTATATCTTGACTCCCTGGTTCTTAAGTAACTGTTTCTAAACAGATGTAAATTAGATTCATTTAGAACAAATACTATAATGTCGTCAATGAACTTCATAGCAAGTCAACATTTGAGCAAAATATCTCAGAACCAATCTCTTTCTTCATGCTCTTTTACCTCCTTTTTCTTGATCCACCATTTTACAAGTTTACTCTTGACCTCTGTCTCACTCTCATTTTGAAAAATAGAAAATATATAATGCTTTAACATTGATTCAATAGGTGTAATCTGGTAAGATGGACATACTCAACAGCAATAAGTACATGCTATTATGGTTTTACACCACCAAAGATTACTCATGCACACTGGGTTTAATCTAAGATGTGTCACTATGCGAAACTGCTTTGGCTGACAGTTAGAAGAATATATAGAGAATCTTCATCAAATAGCTCCATCTATGACATCAGGTGACCCTACATGATGCGGGGAGAAATTCACTCATAACTCAAACAGAAATAAAGTCTCCATCATCATACCTCTAAATGAAAACAAAACTCCCTAACACCCCACGCACGTGAGACCTGCCACGAACCGTTGTTTGTCATTGAATATGGAGAAGCATTCACTAGAAGAATGTTTTTGTGAGGAACGTCTACGTCAATTCTCACCGCGATCAAGACCTCTCTGCAGTTTGGGAACGCATACTCCTTGCGACATATTTCGTTGTCATGGAGAGCAATTTTCTTACAACGGGGCAACCGGTTGACAGTCGAGTTGCATCTTCTCGTCATGGACTCAATGTCAATGCATTCCTTTGTAGATTTATTCCGTTGTGAAATACGACCCACCTCCACTGCTGTCTGGTACCACGTTAGAGATGAGGACTAGGTTCATGTGATGTTCCATGGTTGCACCGGAAGGAGCCTCGTCCGGTCTAGTTCCACGCCATGGGCTCTGAGAATTCTGTTCGGAATTAAGAGGAAGTCAGTCTCTCATCGTCAAATGGCATCGTTTAAAACTACCCTCGCAATCATAGCCGGTCACTACTTGCAGAAGAGTAGATGTGACGCCGGCAGTATCCGGTGGGGCGTTTCTCGAGGTAGGCAGGTCAGTCCCGTGCAGTACTGAAGGTAGTGAATAGTAGGTGGCAGTACCTCGAGCTAAGAAGTGTCTGAGAAGAGACGGCACTCATGTGAAACCGGCAGGGCCCGGTGCTCTGCTCCTTAACACGGTTCAGGGCCTCCAATCCATCGAATGAAGTGGATGTCGTACCGGCAGCGCCGGGCACCTGGTTCAAGGACGCAGCTAACCGATAAACCCATCACCGCGGAATAATTGGGTCGCCGGCAGCAGCCGGTCGAGGAGCCTTGCAAGGATTCGGCGCCCAGTCTGCAGGGACGGGGGAACGGGACGCGGAAGGGACGGGAGGTCGAGCGACCGTCGAGTACGAACGGAGGAAGCGGGACTGGCGGGGAGAGCGGAGGAGAGAGTGGTGGCGTCGTGTCCTCCTCCGTCCATCTGCCCCCCACTTCGACCCTTCCCTGCTCGCGGAGCATCCATCGAGCATCGCACGGAAGCGAGCAGGGAAAATTGTTGGGTCCCTCTGTCGGTCGGTCGGTCTCCTCTGCAGGGCATCGCATCCCATTGCAGCGCAGCGGAGCGGAGCGGGCATTGTATGGCGCGGGAGATCGAGGCAGATCAGTGAGTGAGTGAGTGCCTTCGAGGGAGTGAGCCTGCAGGCAACGCGACGCACCGCACCGCACCGCAACGCAGCTGCTGCGACATGCAATTTGAATCGACTGTCTCTGAAGGCGGTGGCGCGTCGGGACTCGATTGATCGGGAAGCGCTCGCGCTCTGAGGTCTGAGAGCGGAGGAGGCGAAGGTGTTTCCTGATGGCGCCGCCGGGAGGAGGAGGAGCGCAGGTGGCCAGGGCTGGGGCTCCCGCGGTCGCGGGAGCGCCCGTTCAGGCTCAGCCTCAGCAGAGCTTTGGAGGCATGCTGTTCGGTGTGGTGAGAATGGGCATCTTCTGGTACTTCGCCATGCAAATGTTTGCTCCCAAGAAACCCAGCAATCCGGATCTCCTGACCAACAATCTGTTCATGAAAGGCGAGGATCTGGTGAGTTTTCACAATCTGGACCGAGACAATTCTCTTACCTTGTATTTATGGACATAACTGGCCTTTTCGTTTTGTGCTTCCTGTCAAATTTAGAACATGATCGATCTGTGATCTTGATGTCTCCCAAGTGCCTTAGATACGTGTCCAGTTCGTATAACATCCAATTCTGCGTAGTAAAATTCCTCACAAACACCTGGATACTCGAAGATTTATAGCTTCTGTTTTACGTCTCTTATTCTATTTAAACAATCTTAAGGAGTCTGGTCCACAGTGTCCAGATCGTGTACCATCCCGGTTTAGTAGTCAGGCAGGGTGACTTAGATACCTTTCGTTTCCGGGATCTGAAATGATTCTTTATGTCAGTCGGGTCTAATCAAACGAAAAAAATTCAGGGAGCCAGTTTCAATGGAACAGTTTAGTTGTAGTACTAATAAAGACCATGTGAGGAACATGTCGGTGACGCACACGCCAAGATTTTGATGTGATTATTTATATGGATCCCGAAGTATCAATCATAACTTTGCCCTATTCTTGAGAGTGTGAAGAGAAAAAGAATTGGCACTGGTAACTTGAGCTTATCGTCAGTGCTCCTGATTATTTCAAATCTTTCCAATTTTAAATTTTCAAAATTTTAGCACTTGTATAAAATTGTTCAATGGAATTATCCTTCACATTCTGTCAGGAGCATGGATGATGGAATACCACTTCGGAAGCTATATTTTAAACATCGACTTACCCATAGTTACTGTATTCTAAGATCAGCACATCCCACAATGGCCACCGTAGTCATCCTATTATGAGATATTTCTATTACCTACGGACACACGAACATCCAGCTCACTTCCTTCGCTTCATTGGTGACGAAGGACCTCGTTAAACTAAATAGGTGACTGTTCCAGATTACATCAACCCTTGCGTTGCCAAACTGAGTCTTCACTTAACATAATTTGGCAGGTAGCTGGTTTTAAAATGGATAAGACTTGTAATAATACTGCCACTACGAGGGAGGTTCACAATGGTCCCGCATTTTTTGCATTTGATTATGTCAAAATCGCATTTTTCTGTCATGTCTTGACTATGCAGGATGATTTTGCAAACAGGACTTTTGGATGTATATATCAGAAAGCAGGGAGTTCAAGGACTTTAGCAATGAGGAGACTCTTATTTGGCATGAAACAAAGGTGCCGTATGCCGTTTGGACACCGGGAAGTACTAGACGTCGTAATTACACCTTTACTCCGTCAGAGGTATTGTTTCTCACTTCAGATTCACCAATTCGTCGTTGATATAGGAGCTGTGTTTCATGCGTGAAAACTATAAACGAAGGACTGTATGTTGCTAGGAATTTGCTGTGTCTTTATGAAAGCCCATCACCGTGAGTGCTGAAGGATTCAGCAACCATGGCGTATAGTTTTAATAACTGGGAGTTCATAATCATATAGTGGAAATTCCACTAATCCTTCAGTCAGGAGATTATCACAAACATTGAGCTCAATTCAGGACATTTATTAAAAATTTATGATAAATGTCTGCAAATTTAAGAATATATTTAGTATATTTAAAAAAAAATAAGAAACCACATTACGGTGACCAAATGAAATTCGAAGTCACGACTTATGACGTACGACTGATAACGGAAGTTTCGTGTCCTTGATGATCTTAGGCAGTACAGAAGCACAATGCGAGTATCTTTGCCCATGTTTTTTTCGCCCGATCAGGATATTCTCCCGACCCACAAGATGCTGATTATATGAAAGAATCCACTTTCAGCCGTACTCATCGTAAGTTTTCACACACTGTTTTGAGTAGTTAATCAATGTATCTTGAGATCTTAGGTTCTTTGTTCTGGTAGGCCACCACATATTTAGATTGAATTTCAAATTAGCACTGCAAATGAATTAGTATGGGATTTTTATAGTTGTGGCAAACTTCTTTCTCAATACAGCACTCGTAACCTACCTTCCAAAGCCGAAAGTGGACAATCGGAAAAGCTTGTTATCAAAGGATGCTGAAGGTGATCAGCTAACCGCAGAAACGGAGGTATATATTTTCCTGTTAGCTCGTCCTTCCGCAAGTCTTTTTTTCTGTATGCCCTTCCTTCCCCGAAAATGGCAAGATGCATGCACGTCCCTCTGATGTTGTCTTGTGTATCTAATTATCGTCCTGTGTCGTGCTCCAGACAGGACTGGAAACAAAGGAATCTGAGGAAGGCGAAGAAAGGATATGGATATCATTTTGGAAGCCGAATATCACGATAAATCTTGTGGATGATTTCACACGGTGAGATATAACTTTTTGCAGCAAGTATTTAGGTCTCATGTACGTTTTAGGGCAGTCTATACGTACGAGGATGGAGATGCTTTCAAGCTGCGCTTCTCGTTTGGTTTTACATATGATTGCTTTAGCTTCTTCTATCGAGCTCCATCATATACTTACACGTTCATATCCCCATTGTATCACTTACAGTTATCCAAGAGGAGGAGCCCCCCCAACAATTGCCGAACGTATGGACACTAACCCCTTTTCCCTGAGCCTTGAATTGACAACTTTAACTCACTGATTGTGACATTGCAATCATCTCTTTGTCCTAAATTGATTGAAAAATATGGCCATGTGCTGTGCAGACTTAAACGTGGATGAGAACACAGGCAACTACTTTCCAACTGTCTATTTCAACGAGTTTTGGTTGTTGAGAGACAAACTTATAGCAATCAACGAGACCGTTAACGAACTTTACTTGGAAATGGAACTTGGACCCATAAGTTTGACAAGATGGCAGCTTTACTTGCAAATAGATCAGTCTTTCCAGATCCACCGGTCTTATGGCAGTATGATTGAAGGAGAAGCCGATGAACTCAAGGTTAGTGGGCAGAAGAGTAAAAGGTTCCTTGACAATTTGATGGTGTGAGTTGGAACAATATATTATCTTTGAAGTTTGAACTTTTTTTCCTGGCAAATTTAAAAAATACGTTGTTTCTCATGGCAGAGGGTGTTTGTAGAGGGCAATCCGATTTTGCTCGCAGTTACAATGGCTGTTTCCCTTCTTCATTCAGTATTTGACTTTCTGGCCTTCAAAAATGGTAACGTGCATCACCTTCCTGTATGTCTGGACTTGTCAGACGTTTCGCTGCGTATTTATCAGCAATATAGGCTAGGTTTTACTAGAACATTTAATCAGTCAAATGGGGTAGTCAAGGATATTGGATAAGGGCAGGAAGTTCCATTGTAGTTCTAAGCTAATGTTTATCTATGTGATAGCCCGATAGTTGGTTCACTGGTATCTTGCTACGCCTTGCCAAACCCCACTCTCTTTTAGGAGTTTGCAAATGAGGGAACCAGGATCGCGCTGACAAAATTATGTGTAATCTTGCATGATGGCACAGATATTCAGTTTTGGAACAAAAACAAGTCCATGGAAGGCTTGTCAGCTCGTTCAGTGGTCATCAACTTCTTCTGCCAGCTCATAGTGTTTCTATATCTGCTAGACAATGAGACATCCTGGATGATACTGCTTAGCTCTGGTGTTGGGTGTTGTATTGAGTTTTGGAAAATCGGGAAGGCGATGATCATTGAGGTTTGCTCCATGGAATCTCCTCTTTACAAGTCTTCAATTTGGAATTTGAATGACTTCAGAAACCAAGAAAATTGCATTACAGTGTCGCCCTTATTCTTTCACCCATTTGCCAGGCAGTTGTTAGACTTGTTTTAGCTTACGCAACATTTGTTTCCCAGGTTGACCGAAGTGGAAGGTTTCCTCTTTTGAGATTCAAACATCGCGATTCGTATGCTGGGAATAAGACAAAGGAATACGATGATCTGGCTATGAAGTATTTGTCCTATGCTCTGTATCCTATCGTGGCATGTTTTGCAATCTACTCTCTCATGTACGAGCGACATAGGAGCTGGTATTCGTGGATCTTGTCATCTCTGACAAGCTGTGTTTACACCTTCGGTAATCTAACATACCTCCTTCGTCCTGATATGGATGATTATGTTCACTTATCCTAGTTTCCAAATTCCCGTTTTCGTATTCATTCATTTTTATGCTGGAATCTTACCATGTTGAGTGGTTTCAGGGTTCATCATGATGTGTCCTCAATTATTCATCAACTACAAGCTGAAATCAGTTGCTCACCTGCCTTGGCGTCAAATGACGTACAAGTTTCTCAATACGATCATCGATGATCTGTTTGCATTTGTCATCAAGATGCCGTGGCTACATCGTTTGTCAGTCTTCCGTGATGGTAAGTTCCAATGTAAAATATTTCAGTAACGAACTCTGAACATTTTCTCTGTCGGACTTGTTGATAAGCTTCCGTAACTGGGAACAGGCCTTCAGTTCCTTTTTTCGAATTGCAGAGCCATAATGTCAAGCGAGGCCTACTTTACTGTGTTTGCAAATGATTTGTAGCAGTTTCACAGAGTTAGCTGATGTCCGATTGATAATTAGCACTTCTGTTTGTTTTATTCTTTGAGAAACTTACAGAAAGAGGTGCAATGTACACTATTGAACCGTGGTCTTGTTGCATTCCAGATGTGATATTCCTGATTTACTTGTATCAACGTTGGGTCTACCCGGTTGATAAAAAGCGAGTCAATGAGTTTGGGTTTGGAGGAGCTGAGGCAGACGGCAGTGAACCCAGTAATGCAATTGAAGCATCCGTAGCGGACAGGATCATAAAGAGACCAGGAGAATCAGCGAAAGAGGCTAAAGCAGTCCTACGAACTGCTGGCTTCTCGGAGGACGGCTCAAAAGCTGCTGAGGGGAGCAGTTCTTCAACAGCTGCAGAAGAGACGAAAGAGGGCAAGAAAAAGTTGTGAAATGTGTGTTGTTCCTGTGCTAGACTACTTAGGATTAGTCTCTCAAAATCTATGCAATTTTTTCCCAGTGTAACGTGCTTTTTTGAGAAATTTCGTAAGATTGCAACAAAAGCTTCTTAGTGGAGGCATTGGATTCCTTGGCACGTCGTTGGATGCTTCTGTACAGCTCTTTGTCCTCCCTCTTGTGCCACCAAGAGCCACCAAAATGGTGGTGCATTGAGCTACGTGTCACCTTCATGTCTTGAAGGTCACACTATTACATCAAGGTAGCTCTGTCGTAATGCTTTTATTGTACAATTTGATATGTAATATGCATTTTTTTGAATTTGTAAATCCTGGAAATTGCTGGACGCTGAAATTTACGGTATCCGGAGATACTTCCCCTCAAAATTAGCTGGAAAGGTAGACGCGAACGGCAGTGTTCTCAATTTCGCCAACTTATTTTCACATAGCAATAAATAAAATTTGTGTTTTCAGTGACACACAACTTTCGAGTACTTTCGAGCACGTGTGTCGAAGCCACCCGGAGTACCTGCCATGGCCTTTTTTAGTGATACGAATACTGAAGAGAACCAGCGCAAGAAGAATACTGAAGTCTGTAGTCTTCAGAGGTTTTCAGCAACTAGGAGTCACCCAAATTATTTCAACTTGTCTTTTGTCAGACTGCAAGCACGTGATCTTCCAATACTCTTCTGCACACCGCAAACTGCGGGAAGAGGACTATTTTCACCAAAACGTACGCCCTGAGTATAAACTACGAAGGCCTGGGCCAACAAAACAATGGTGTTATATGCCAGGATGCACGCTGGGCAAGGGTTGTACGAGGACGGCATGTCCTTGCCGTGTGCGCACTCAGCATGACGCGCCAGGTGGAAAAGGCAACGCGCAGCCAAAGTGCACTGACGACTGAGCATCTTTGTACGTGTAACAAATGACACACGAGTCACATGTAAATGTCATGAAAAATTGTCATCACAACACAAGAAGGAGATGTTAAGTCTCAGAAAGCCGTGCTACAGATGCAAATTGTAATATATTCGGCTGTTATGTGTCCACGTGACCAAGTTGGACCGCAACATCGCCTTACCCAGGTACAACATCCCGTCCACGTTGTCCATGCGCTAACAACTCCTTCGCTCGAAGTGTTGTTGTCAAGGTTTATACAAACCTGCTCCCCATCTCTACTACATTCGAAATGGGAAGTTCGGGGACGGTGAGTGCGAATATGTTCGGCTGAGAGAACATGTGTATGTGCAAGGTTTACATTGAGATTCTGGCCGTTGCCAAGTTAAATCATGGAAAGAGGTAAGTATCTTGTGCCCGAGTGCAAGGTAATTTCAGAAAGTATCATGGTGTGCGCAGACCCTTAAAGAGCGTTGATAGACCACTTGGAGAGGAGGTATGCGGAGGAAAAGAGAGTGCCATGAGTCAACAGCCACACCCTTCTCATTGTTTGTCTGGTCGGGACCCTCGTGGCCACCACCTACCACCTACTGGTGAATATTGGTCGCAACATTGTTCGGATGATCTTCTAATATTCCTTAATTCTGCTTTCTGCATGCCATTCCTATTGGCGACTGGGTGCGTGATTGGACGACATGGTCCAACGCCAAAAGAATGAAATGACACAAATAGCTGCCAAATCAGCAAAGGGAAGAAAGCCTACTTTCACAATTAGTGATCCAGTTGCCGCAGAGGTCAAGTATCCAGGGTGAGGTTGGGTGACATCAGTGGAGAGTGAATTCCTCTCCACTGTCCGCATCAAGTTTGTCAGCAGGGACTTTCATGCACTTCTTACCTTGCTTCCCCTTCTGGACTCTTGCTGGTTTCAGTCCATTGATCAATTTGAACCATGTCATCGTACAAGTCCTGCATACGATACAACCTCAAGTTGCATGTATTATTAAGGCTTGCCTCCGTGGGCCTATTGGAAATCAACCGCATAAGATGTGCATCAACTGGAACATATGGGCATGTCATTTCAAGAGGTGATTGCTTGACATGGCCCAACTTACAAAGACTGAAACTACACATTGGCTGCCAAATCAGCAGCGGAAGCTTTTTTTGGGACTGAATCTTCTTAGAAGTCGAAAGCCGACCATCATTTATGTCGAGTGACTTTTTCGAAGATGTGCATCTCTTTTCCATCATCTTTATACTTCAAGAAACACTACGATGCAATGCCATCCTTGCTTCAGTCGCAGGTCTCTTGCTTGTCTGAGGTGAATGATTTGTATGGTAGATCTCGTTCTGGAGACCTTGTATTGTACTTATATAGTCTTATATCATGATAGCTTACCGTAGGCCTGAAGAGAATCGACATCCTGATCTGCACCTCTACTTCTGCACTTGGGCGTGACAAGCAATTTCATGACCGGGTGACACGTAACCAGTTTCAAAATATTGAAATTACTGAAACAGCAGTTAAATCATTAGAAGCTATCCTTTCTTTGCAGTCAGTTTCGAAGACTGTCGAGTTTACGAAACTTGAATCTACTATCGACCTACTTCTAGAGAGACGTGACTCTACAACGTTCATCGTCAGCGAAGACTACAAATCTCTGTTTGCTTCCTCTGGTGGGCTCAGGCCGTTTTGAGGTGATAAATCCTCATGAAAGTCTCCAATACTCGACTTCGAGAGAACCTCAACTTCACATCTATCTTCAACTGCAATTTCTAGCTTGGGCGTGTAAGAGTGTGGACCTCCTAAGATACATTTCAATGGGCATGTAGTGAGGAAATTCAACGGTAAATTTCGGTGAATGTCGTCCTTCTGAAATGCACTTCAGCCTGATCAGCTGGTAAGTCGTCCCTCGTATTGTAGCGGTACCAGGTCAATACCGATATGACCAATTGCCGCTTTCGACGACTTGGCTTGATATCGGAAGTTATGACTCTCGGTAGAAAACGTTGAATTGTAACCCTTCGAAGACAATGTAGCGTCGTTGACATGAATATCTTTATCGTTTTACAATCAGATGGTCCGTCCTCTTTGGATGGGTGCTTCACTCTTCTATGTATATAATACTCTCACATTTGCACTTCATGATAGTCTTGACCTGGACAGTGAAAGCCACGGAGAGGATGCGGGCCCACGTCAATGCGTCTTGAGAGAGAGTACCTCGATAAAACCTGACGCATTTATGGAACCAAGTAAATATAGCCAAAAAAAGTGAAGAGCCATGAAGCCCCACATGGTTGAAACCGAGGGGTAAGATGCACCTAGGCTCCACAAGCAACAAAAAGGGAATTATAACACATTGCACCCAGTATATCCAAGTCTATACATACATCTACTTTCTACAAGAGCATTTGTATCGATTGCAACGCCAATGTGATGTGATATGCTTTTGTTATTCCATAATCTCTCCTAAAAATTCCGAAATATTATACATACATCATCTATATATACTCTACTGCCATAGCAGATAATTAATCTCCATTGATATCATGAATCAAATAAAGATCGTTGTAGAAGGAACTAACAAACCTGTAATAGTTTAAAAAAGCCTTGATCGATTGTCCAGCCAAGGTCCGTAATCAGAATCTTTATCTAAACAGAAGCATAGACAAGCCTTCAAAGAATGATAGTATCAGTAAAAGAATGCAGATCATAATATAATGATGTTCAATGTAAAAATTATTTGAGACGTGATACATAGTTTTGCAGTCTTGATACTTAGACATATTATATGTTTGTGTGTGTTATAGAAGCTTCATTTGGCAAAAAATTTGGCCAACATGTTCTTGAATGAAATGAATAATATAATGAAATGTTGATTTTGATGTTTCAGCATATAAAGATGTGAAAAAATGTAATAAATAAAATAAAAATATATCAAATTTTGATTTTAAGATGAGATTAATTCGACTGTAATAAAATTTTAATTAAAAATCTACTAAAATCAAATTTAAAAAAAGTAAAAAAAAAATTTATATCAATTTTATCAGTAATCTTGATATTTTCACATTGAATCAATGAGGTTAAATGATAACTTTAAGTAAAATTATATGGGAAAATTTAAAATTTTAAATAAAAGATTTAAATTTTGAACCAAACATATGAGGAGAGTTATTTAATATTTGAGATATGGAAAGCGAGAATATAATTCCTAATTTATAATTATGTTTAAATTGATTTTAAAAGATTGTGTATAATGTGACATATTAACCTTAAAATCTCACAAATTTAGCGACTTTTGTATAATGATGACACTTTTCAATTTTATGGAGTTCTGTCCAAATATATATTTTAAGTTTTAAATTGATGATGTGAAATTGATTATTTTATCAAATAGGGCATAGTCAGACTTTGCAATGTTCGATACTTTGTATATATTTAAAAAAACATGTGTGGTTCACACGTATGTAGGATATAATACTCAGAAAACTTGATGAAAAAATGTAATAAATGAAACAAACTTCAAGAACCAATCAAAAAAGAGGCCAACTTTTTTTCTTGGACTCCTGATAAGAATTCTGACTTGAAAATTTTAACTCACAACTGAATACAGAAAACATTTAGGAAGAAATAGAAAGCCATACAACATAGAAAACATAGAAAGCCATACAGCAGAACCCAGGGAACACATATTGCCATTCCAGTCGCTAGCACATTCAAGACACTTCTTCACACGAATCATGCCAACCAAGTATTTTCGACCCGGGCACCATCTCCCACCAACTTTTGCTTCCTTTCACCTTTACGATACTGAAACGAAAAAAAGGCCGTGACTATCAACCTGGACCTGGCAAAAGGAATGTGCAAATCTTTCTGTTCTGACCAAAAAAGAGGAAGAGCTCATCAGCGAAAAAGGAGCCGCTGCCGCTGCCGCTGCCAAAAGGCGTCATAACGGGTCCAACAAAAGGAAAAAAACCCGGTCAATCATGGGAAGGCCCGCGAATATCCACGATCCGCTTTACTTCACACTTCTGAGCAAGGGGACAATATAAAAAACCGAATCAACAGCTCGCGGCTACAGCCGCAAATCGCAGATATTCACGCAGCAGCACGCACGCACCCACACCCACACACACACAAATGAATCTCCCCTCGCGGTAAATAAATCTCTCAAGGCATCACCTACAGCGCAACGAAATCGGCTGTAATTGCGGCCGCATGATTATCCGCTGGACTGTCCCACAGCCCCACTGGACTGTACCGCTCTGTCCTGTACTGTACCGTAGTGGAATCATGGACTCCGTAAACTGCAGGCCGGAGCGCACCGGCACATGCTCTCGCAGTCGCACACACGGTTGCGCCGCGGTGGTCAAATCGCATCGGCATTGGCCGTGCCGGTCGTCAACTCAGCGTGGATGGAATCGGGGTATATCGAGGTCGCCTTGGGCTGCTGTGTTGGTTCGGAGTCCGTAGGCTCGGGCCATCGGGCCCGGACTAGGGCTCGGTTGGGGTGAAGACATCAGTCTTCACCGATCGTGGAGCGCAGAGCGGGGACTGCGATCGGGTTTTTGTTCGGGGCAGGTCGGGTTTCGACGGGATTCGCCGGGGCTGCAGTGCAGTGCACACGAGGGGAGGAGGCTCAGAGGCGAGACCGCGGAGCGGAGCGTGATGCATCTCGTGACGCGAATATGAGATGAGGTAGCCAAGAGACGCGTCGCCTGATCGAGCGAGCGAGCGAGCGAGGGAACGAAATGGGGAGGCCGACCCGCCTCGCCGAGGGGAGCCCGGGGCCGGGCCGGGCCGGGCCGGGGGACGGGGAGGGGCGGGGAGGGGCAGGCTAGGCTGGCCGCGTGCACGGGAGAGAGGAGCGCGTGAGCACCGGAGCGGAGGAGACTGCGGAGTGCGTTTTGCCGGAGGAGGATTATTTGAATGCGGCGCAGTGACGAGCGACGGGTCGGAGCGCTGCCAGTGTGGGGAGGGTGTGAGTTAGCGAACAAACGAATGAACGTTGAATGAATGGACGACTTATTGAATTCGCGAGTGAGTCAATGAGCAGAAGGTAGTCAGAGGGGAGGGGAGATAGAGAACGTAGCAGCAGAGCGAGGTCGAGGTCGGAGGTGGGGGGAGAGGGAGGGAGGGAGGGAGGGAGCAGCAGGGGCAGAGGAGGAGGATGTGGGGCGTGGGGGCGGAGATGGTGGAACTCGAGCAGGCGCTGCGGCGGAGGGGGAGATAGGAATAGAAGGCAGTGCGGGGGGAGATCGAGAGGGGGAGGAAAAACGAGAACGAGAAAGTAAACGAGGAACGAGTGACGAGTGACGGGGAGGGGGAGGTGTTGTGGTGGTTGGGGTGGGGGCGTGGAGTTGGAGGAGGAGGAGGAGGAGGAGGGAGAGCGGGGGAGATGGATTGATTGAATCGGCGAGAGTCGAGAAGTTCTTTGAAGAACGAGAGAGTGCAAGGCGCTGGAGCAGAGCGCAGATCCCCCTCGCGAGGGGTGGGGGGGAAGGCGGGCAGCGACGGAGGTTGAATGGCCGGCAGCGGAGGTCGTCGGTGGAGGCGACGCGCGGGCGGGGACGCGGAGGCGGCAGTAGCAGCAGCAGCAGACGCAGGGCAGGACGAGAATCAGGAATGGGTTGTGGGAGGTGCAGCAGAGACAGAGGTAGTGGAAAAGGAGCGGATTTCGAAGCTCATGTTTCGGTTACGGACGGCGGGTTTAGTAGGAGGCGGGAGCGCCGGGAGCAAGCGGGTGACTGGAGGTGGCGCTGCAGGGCAGATGCGTGCTCTCAAGCGCGGGGCTAGGCGATTGGGCCGTCAGCTCAGACGACACTCCGTCAGGTCGCTCTGCTGTGTATCCGGGAGCGCTCGCGGAATTGGGTACCACAAGCTCTCCAGGTCGTCCTCGGTCGATTCCGAGCGATTGTTAGGAGGAATTATTCCCAACCCAATCGCCCCGCTCGCCGAATGGCCCAGTTGGGGTTCGCTCGGCCGATTAGCGAGCCTCGGACCCCTTGGAAGTTTTAGATGCGTCGAAGAAGCTGAAGACACAGTCGTCGTCAAAGTTGGCATGGTTGGCGATTGCCAGACCGGCAAAACGAGTTTTATGGTTCGTCCTCTCTTCCCTCAATTGGTCGAATGACATTTCCAAATTCTTCTCTCCGGTGCTCTGCTCTCGACTTTCTCTCCCCACAATCCGTGACTCCGTCTCATTCTCTGTGTAATTTATCATTCAGGTGAATTACGTGGCATCCCAGAAGAATGAGGACTATGTACAGACCATCGGAGTAACGTCGATGGAAAAGATCTTCAAAGTCCAGAATGCCAACATTGCCCTCAGTATATGGGATCTCGGAGGTAGGGGTTGTCTATCGGTGGCTAAATTTAGCCCTCGTATGAACTGGTGATGTCTTTCGTCCAATAGCAGGCTTCGGTCATCGGTATAGTTCTCATCCGTGGCACGATGTTTACGACCACTGTGAGGGTTTCAACTTTGCCGTCAATCGACCAATGTTCTGTACTTCCGCGAGTCCTACGGATAATTCGATCGATGGACCTTGTTGGCGCACTTGAAGATACTCGTTTATTAGCTAAACTGCCAAAGGACGCTTGAAATGTGCTGAGACTCGTTTTCTTTAAGGTTTCGTTATTCGCACCACCACCTTCGCACCATCTTACTGGGAAGGCAGGTCCTAGTTACGGAAAGAGTCTTCAAATTCATCGAACAGTGGTCGATTGATTGTGAGGTCGCCCACTTGAATTGATGCTCCTAACCATGCAGAGTGGAGAGCTGATACTAGTCGTTCTCGAACTGCTCTCTGGCCCAAAGCAAGAGATGCTCGTCAATTTTCTGCGTTGTGTGTCTGCATTTGAAATTGGTTTGAAACTCGTGGACTTTGAGTGTGTCATGAACAGTGGTCGATGTGTGCTTTGATTGCCAGGTCATCGCCAGTTCTCGAGCATGATGCCCCTAGTCTGCAAAGACTCAGATGCCATACTACTCATGTTCGATTTGACGCGCAGATCGACGCTTCATAGGTACGTGTTTTGCCCTGGACGATTTTATGCCCTACGCGCCGAATTGGCCATTCCCCGTGTCTTCTGTTCGTCAAAATTGGCTGTGCTCTTGAAATCGGCTCGCCTCGTCCGTGCGCTCTGTGCCACTCGTGTGGCATGGCCATCCAACCGTGATCTTGTCGATGCCAACCTGCCGAAAGTACTCTTCGCGCTCTGGTTGGCCCCAGTCGAATGTGAGGGCAGTACTTGAAGGGTCCTCTGGATAGCCTCCTGACTGCTTAGCAGCGATGCTTCACGTATATGTGAAGCTTTTGCATGCATGCACGCTACGATTATGAAATTTTGATTATGAGGAGTCGCGCGGATGGGAACGAGGGTCGGCATTACGTCCCGTCAACCCGCTTTTCCACGCCTCTGAATGGAGATAATTTTCAATAATATTCAAATGTCAATGTACGGCAGTTGATTGTGAATTGACATTTTGCTCGTCGCATGGGCTTCTGTGCAGTGTGAAGCAGTGGTTCGTACAAGTGCGACATTGCAACAAGGTAGTCTATGATTCTGACCCCTGGTTAATGTAGCGTAGCATCGTCTGATTCCTCCAAGTACTCGTCATCCCCTGAAACAGTTTCCATGTAGGTTTTGCTGCTTAGCTTGCCTCTGAAGATATAATCACGGGAATGGTTCTTGACTCAACTGCATCCTAATTGGAAAACTCATCGTTCTGCAGAGTGCCATTGTTATATTGGTGGGTACCAAGTACGACCACTTTGTGAATCTGCCGGAAGATACGCAAAGGATCATAACGAGACAGGTCGGTGAATTGCGCAACTTGTATTGAAATGAACTGAGCTGGTTTCGAGATAGAGATCTTTTGAAAGTGATGTACGGAAAGCGGCGTAACATTAGAATTTTTCTGGTTTTTTCTGTTACGCTGGTAATCAGCGATCAAGATTTATCGTGTACATGCGGAGTTCATCTTTTGGTTGCCTGTCACACAACAAGGCTTTGACAGTGACGTGGGGGTTTTGGGTGCTTGGTGCAGGCGAGGTTGTACGCACAGGCCATGGATGCTTCATTATTCTTTTCAAGTGTTACCCACAACATTAATGTACATAAAATTTTCAAAGTCATCGTCGCCAAATTGTTCGATCTTCCGTGCAATATTTCCAAGAACCTTACCTTCGGAGAACCTATCATAGACTACTGAGACTCAATAATGCCTCACTACAAATTCTGTACAGTAGGTTCTAAAATCTTTTTTGTCGTGAGAAACACGCCATCGCTCGTGTCTACGAATTGCATCTCTACATCTACTTGTGGCCTTTTTAAGAGCTGAAGGAAGGACATGCTATTCGTTCTTTTTGCCTAGCGTGTTTCGTGCACATTGTGCTGGTGATTTATGACGTGTATCAGCAAACGTCTGGTTGGCAGAGACCGGAAAGCCATTACATGAGATGCGTAGCGGAGACATAGGATCACATGGGCCGTCAGAGCGTGCATTGGCAGTGGCAATTATATAGGACTGGATGGTGCAGCATTCATGTCCACCAGCCATCCCAAATTTTTTTCAATAATGGTAGATGGAATCAAAGGTGCACGAAGCGAGTCGTCTAGTTACCAGAGGGGTCCTCTCGATCATCTGTGCTTTGTTAATCTATTAGCAAAGAGAATGGGCAATTCAGTAAACAAGTCCTCTCTTTCAGCCTCTCAGTATTACCTCCTCACCACTGTCTCATCTCTCTTTCCTGCCCGAGCTGGGTCAATTCTCGTTATCCTCATCCATTTGTCGGTCCTGTCAAGTTTGTCTTTCAAGCAGCGGCCTCCGTAGTGGCATTGGACAGTGCTTCCATGCTGTCAGTGCCAGGCACGCCCCTCACGACTTCACCTCCTCTTCTCGAGGTGTGTCGATCACACACCGCTGTTCAACCTGCGCGCGTCAACCCTCGCTGTTGGAAGTCGTGATTGTCTGAAGTGAAAATCGTGAGATTTACGAGGCCAGCAGTAAGGAATTACTGAATCCAGTAAGCTGGTTCGTTCCCACTTCTCATGACCAAGCTCTTCCACTTTCATTGCGTGCCTCCTAATGGTTCAGGGCAAGTCGTGGGTCAAAATGTCATCGAGCGATTTATTCGTGCTCTGGGAGAAGTCAGAGAAATAAACACACGAGTATCATGTCAATCTTCTCCGACCCGTTGACCAGAGAATACTCGATGGTCACCGGAGGACAAAGCGACGTGTTGACCATGATGTGTGCCGGCCTCCTTGCAGGCCGGGCCCTCTCCTTCCAAGTGTGCAAATGCTAAGCTCGGAGCAGGGAGCTGAACACGCCGACTAACATTCCGAGGGTACGTACTTGAATAGTGACCGTATCCTGTCAAGGACTGAGAGAGAAACTGCTACTTCGAGCTAGGTTACAAATTTCTGGTCTCTACGGGACGATGCATATGTCACGTTCAAGTCAAACTTGCTACTTATATCAGCACAATGTGACAAAGAAATAGTTTTGTATGACATATATATATTCTAAAGTTGTACAGTGTTATGGATATGCAGACATTTTGAGTGCATCGGTCAACAGACTTTGGGCAAAGGAAACGACAAATAGACAAAGGAAGGTTCCACATCAAGGCTCTCAGAGTCCAATATGACATGGATGGGTTCACATCCATTGGAAAAACTTGGGAAGACTCCGGCAAGCAAAACAAGTAACAAAATAACACCGATGAATAAGTTAGTCTCTACATTGTGAGACTAACCTATTTCATGAAGATTTTTATTTCATACTATGATCAAATATCAATATCAGTATATTCATAAATAAATACCACATCACTTAAAATGTTACATTTTTTTCTGATTTGGTAGCTTAAATTCTAAGATTGAAAAATTCATTCATATCTTCTAACATTACAAAAATGAACTCTTAATTAAATTTTTTCCTAGAAAAATATTTCAGATATTTGAATTTTTGATAAAATATATTAAAGAAAAGAACACATTATGTCTTTATTTATAAACTTTTCGCGCAATCGCAAACATGTCGAAACGAACATGTCAAACAAAAGGAGAAGTAGGATGTTCAACCGATGCCTGGAGGGTGATGTCTTAGATTTCTCTAGACAACATATTTTAACTCAGAGTAAAATTGTGTGTATGAACAAACATCACCCACCATATTTCTTAGTTACCTTTCTTTTGAACGTAAAACTAGCACCGTTCGATGCACCATGGACACTCAAGGTCTGCATAGCTGGGTTGTAAACGATAAGGACAGAGGGATCGGACTGCAAATGTGACACTTTCCCCAGAATCTGCATGCGTTACGCATGAGAGATTTGATTGAGTGGGATACTGGAATGAAACTCCTCTAAAGTGCAGAACATTCTCTTATAGAAGGTCAGCTCTTCTATATATTGCTTCATTCGGTAAGTTCATCATCATTTGACGCACTGGTCCACTGCCATGCATACCTAGATTGACAAGAATCTAACAATTAGAGGTTTAGTAAAAGACTTTAACTTTCTGCGCCACAGCGGGAAAAAATTATTGTTTAACCGTAAGAGAGACATTTACCCTTGTGAAAATTATGTCCGATTGAACAATGTCAAGAAAATCAGTGACACATGACTTCAGTTCAGGAAATAAACTTTGTTCCATAACTTTTGTTCCCTTCCTTCTTAGATTTGAAGCAAACTAACACATGCATTATATAATTATGATTTTATCACGATTCTTAAATATCTAGCATATGGCATGCATATAAAACCTGGCCAAAACCTCCACTCCCAACCCCATCTGGCATCAATTCTGGATTCACTTTCTATGGTTTGATATACTCAAGATGTATAAAACCTTTGCACACATAAGAAAAATCAGAAATTATCTCATGTGTACACTTCGAGACTATTGTACTTGCATCAATTAATGTACATTAGTGACCAAGTTAGTATAGTGCCAATTCAGTTATACAGCTAAATCTCATGATTAATGTCAATTCTTAGTGGCATACTTGACAAAGAACTTAAGAATTATTAGATTTTACCTTATAAATCTATCCAATAAGTACGATATTGTCGCAATTGGCAATAGTGACATAATATTATCTAATAGTGAAAATTCAAATTGTATTTAAAAAAAATAAATTCAATCTATTACTTATTGCTCTTATTCTAGTAAAACTCCCAACCTTTGACTTGTTGTTAACATGGCGTGGAATCACACCCTTTATCCGGCCTTGACCCACTCGTTGTTCCCGACCTTACTTGCACTCGCTCATCTGTCATGTTTGGCTCCTTCACACCATGCTATAGGATAAATGCTAAAAAAAAAAGCAAAAATGGTGATGTTGTAACCTCAATTTATTAAAACAATTCTGTCCACATAATCCCACTTTACAACGCGGTCCATTCTTATTTGTGTTATATTACTTTCATTTTGTTGTTTCAACCATTTTACAGGTGAGAAGCAACACAAATCACTCTACAAATTTTCTCAGCTTTGATTGCTCACATTTCATCATTTATAACGATGATTTATTTTGGAGAATCAGCTTTGCTTGTTAACTTTTCATCATTTATATCGTTAATTTATTTTGAAGACCTCAACCCTGCTTGCTCACTTTTTACAATTTATAATTGCTTTATTTTGGCAACCTGAGATTAAGTTTACTAAAAACAATACGATATTTGAACCCAAAGACAAGTCATTGAGAATGATACTATCCACCAAATGATCCGCTAAATATTCAGCAAATCTGCTAAAAGTGTAATCAAAATGCATGTATATAATTTGCTAAATGTTACCCAACCTCGTATGAGAGACAACTCTCACAGTGAAGTGAAAACCTAGCACCAATATGTGTCACTATTGGAAGATTAAACTCTGTACAATGTCAAACTTTAAAAACAATTAATTACTCTAGTATTATTAATATTTTTTATCATGAATAAAATGATATACTATTAATACATTTTATAATGAATTGATAGCTACTTTATTTTTCAGGTTATTATAGTTTTTGGATAGCAAATAATTATCTCTTAGTTTATGTTAATTATTTTTCACTTTATATGAACTGTTTAAAAAATGAGATATTTGATTGGTCAAAAGTATTTCATTTCAAAATGAACACATTCGCTCCACCTAAATTGGACGCTGCGCTATCAACAATGCAAATTTATGCGTTAAATCAAAACTACAATGTGGTGATTAAGCAGATGCAACATTGATAACAAGAAAGATGGAATCATCAAGGCATTCTATGTTGTGTGTTATCGTTGGAAAAAAACCTATAATTAGAATGAGTGATAATTAGTATAGACTAAGGATAACTGGCAGTTACCATTTTTTCTTATATGTTCTCTTCCCGTGGATTTGGTGTAAACACTGCATTTGTTAATTATTCAGCCCTATGTTGACGCCGGAATCTTACATAGTATTTCACTTGTATGTGCAAACCTTCGCATGTCATAACCAAATCTGAAAAGTTTCTTTCACGCCACGGTGATGAGTCCCAGATGACGGGTTTAGCTAACTTTAGTGCCAGGGTTGGCGTCCATAGAATAAATACGAACAAAAATGCTAAGTTTCAGAGAAAATCCACATGCTCGAGGGTTTCGATCGGGTCCCCTGTAAAGCTAACTTGTCATGCTAGTAAAGATCCACAACGTTATCTCTGGAGTTTTGTCCGAATGGATAAGATCATGAAATGCGAAATTGGTGGGCGGCGGTGATATGTGCATCGCTTCCGCCAAATCTAGCCGCCCAAATGGGACTTCCCGCACATAAGACATGCCCTTTCGTAACTGATTTCCTCGTACAGAACTTAAGTGCGCTACGGGACAGTCTAGCTCGACTCTAAGCAAATGGGACCCTGTCACGCAGTGAAGCAAAGTCTTTCAGCTCTTATATCTCTCACACGTGTTCCCATCAACAACTTTCGATGATATTTCAATACTTGATTCAATTTCTATATGAAAACTTATGCACAACGGAAGGAACTTCACCGAAAAACAACTTCAGCACATGTACAGCATTTGGCGTCCTTATCGGAAGTTGGGTCTTCTAAAGCTTCTACGTCTTAGCATCGCGTTGCGCAAAAGTCATCGGATCTTCCGGCCCACGGGATCGAGCGGCCGGAGTTGCAGTCAAGGCTGGGAGATTACGTGACCGGGAGGATCATCTCCTCTGGAAGCAATCCCTGACCTACTTTTTCCCCAGAGTTACTTACTCTTTCTGACCGTGAAAAGAAAGGAGCCCTGGAATTCGGGGTCCATTTGTCGAGAAGAGTCTGGACGGGCAGAGTTGTCTACAAATAGCGGATTGGCATATGAACCGTCACCGCTTACAATCCATGTTTACATCCTCTGTGCCCATCTCCACTGATTTTCTCCTCTCAACTCTCTAGAGCCCAGAGAAGGTTTGACCGGACTTCGCCTGGCACCTTCCGAGGGTGCAGAACAGGCGACACCCGCGGCAAACATGGGTATGGGATAGGATATGCTTGAAAGAATTCTACCCAAAATCTTAACCATCTTAACCACTAAAATCATAAACCCCCTCGTTTACATGGTTTTATGAGGATTACATGTCAATGATCCCAAGGGAACACATTAAAAGATTGCATGCAAGTAAAACTCACATTCTGATCCATACAGTTCATCAACAAGCCGTTACAACATTTCACCTCAGACTGTGGGTCGTGTAATTTGCAAAGGGGGCCAAAATATACTCAAGCCATCAAATATCTTGTTGATCAAACAGTACAGAAACACTTCGTAGGACACCCAAATTTATTTTCTGCTTGAATGGAATGGCAGTCTTCCATTTGCCCAAATGTCAACGAACAAGTCATCGCACAAACCGATATAATATCTGCGTATGAGCAGTAAAATAAAATATTCAATGTCTTTCAATAGCATGCCACAACAAGAAAAACCTTCACATCA